CGCCAGGTGCACCACACACACACGGAGAAGCGCGCCAGGTGCACCACACACACACGGAGAAGCACGCCAGGTGCACCACACAGACACGGAGAAGCGCGCCAGGTGCACCACACAGACACGGAGAAGCGCGCCAGGTGCACCACACACACGGAGAAGCACGCCAGGTGCATCAGACACACGGAGAAGCGCGCCAGGTGCAGGTCTTGATGTGCTGATCCCAGGCCTGCAGGGCCACCACCTAGAGTGAGGTGTTGATACGCAGCCTCCCAGACACTGCCCCACGCCCTTTCCCAGTCCGCGGCCTTCTCCCAGGAGGAACCCTTCCCTTGACTTCTCTTAGTCGTGCCTGCTCCTGAACGTCACAAAAACGGAGTTATACAGTAGGTAGGCTTCTTTCACTCAACTCAAAGGCTACCGTCCACCTCGGAGGCCCTTAGCTGCCTCTTCCCGTTTTGCCTGTTCCCCCTTCACGCAACAGGGTTCCATGCATTTGCTCCTATACTCTCCTTTTTCTGGAATGCAGCTACCCTCTGCCCACCCATTTTTCTCCCTCTGGCAAAATTCTTCACATTCTTGTAAGGCTCAGCTCAATTGTCCCCAACGCCCTGAGGGGAAATTCGAGGCTCCTCTAGAAATTCTAGCAGCCCTCACTCCTATGAAAATCAGTAAGAATGCTAAGGGCTTCAGTGTCTCCTTAGACAATTTTCCTCCCACAAGGATACAGGCCCTAAGGGAGAGAGCAGCTTGCCCCAGTGAGGCAGTTACAGTTACGCCTTCATTTAACTGAGCGGGGTGGGGCTGCCCAGGGCCAGGTCAAGTGCACCTCTTAAGGGTTCCACGCAGAAATAGGATGAACAGTGACTCCTCCAGGAAAGCCTGACAATCCCATGGAAACCGATCTGCCCAGGAGCTCCAGAAGCACTGGGCTCTCTCCGTACTGAATTAGAGACCACAGGGCACATCTCCCTCACCTGCGAGCTTGAAGTTTCTGGAGGCAGGCGTTTCTTTGCAGCCCAGCCAACTCTCTTCTGGCTGAGAGCCATCAATGACTGTGGGATTTGTTTGCCTGTGGATTTGCTGTGCTTGGGTACTAACTGGCCCTGTGTTTATCCGGCCTCCCTGACTAAAGGTGCCCTGCAGGCAGAGGCCCTACATGCATCTTCTTACCCCACAGACAGAGCAGCAAGCTTCCCGCCACGGCTCGCCACCCACACGCAGCCCCTCGGCCTGCCTGCCACCCCTAGTCTACACTCTCTCCCCCATTACTCTGTCTGAACACCCTGAGCCCTTGGTGAACTTGCAAGAATCCTCTACCTAAAGTCTGTGCTGACACCCTGCCTCTCCGTCCACAGTTCCACAGTGCAGCTCCTGGCCTCACGGCCTCACCCACTACAGACTAACAGGTGATGTGCCTATTGTCCCCACTGTCTTGTAGAGAAAGCAACCAAGTCTTCCAACTTTACATCACTTGCAGGGTCTCGTACAGTGCTATGGACAAATACAGCAGATGGTCAAATAATTGTTGAATGAAGGAAAATCTTTGGGTATCGTATTTGGATCTATGAGTGTTGCTTGTGGGTAGGATTTATTTTCTCACTGCGTTTTTTGTGGCAAGGAACCATTTTGATATATTCTCTCACCAGTGATTAAACAGTGGTCAAATAAGAGATATCTGGTAAATATTTAACTACTCTACTAAAGAGCTAGAACAACTCTAAAAAGTAAAAACGTAAACATATGTATACATATACACATTGCCTTGCGCCAATCTGCTGCGAAAGACCTCTAGAGGTAAAATGTTAAAAAGCAAAGATGTCAGTTTGAGGACTAAGGAGTGCCTGACCCAAGCCATGGTATTTTCAATTACCTCATATGCGTGCAAAAGCTGGACAATGAACAAGGAAGACCTAAGAAGAACTGATGCACTTGAATTACGGTGTGGGCGGATACTGAATACCCCATGGACTGCCAGAACAAGCAAACCTGTCTTAGAAGAAGTACAGCCAGAACGGCAAGACTTCATCTCACATACTCTGGACGTGTGGTCAGGAGGGATCGATCAGTCCTTGGAGAAGGATATCGTGCTTGGTAGAGAGTGAGAGAAAAAGGGGAAGACCCTCAACAAGAAGGACTGCCACAGCGGCTACAACAATCGGCTCAAACACAGCAACGACTGTGAGGGTACAGCACCAGGCAGTGTTTCGTTCTGAGTCGGAACCAACTCAACGGCACCTGACAACGAAAACAACAACACTGCATACCAGTCCACTTAACAATGGTTTCTTTGGGGAAGCCACAGTTTATAGATAGAGAAGTTTCAGGATACTGATTTAATAAGAAACTCTCCAACAAACACAAATCTTATTTTTGAAAGTGTTTTTGGTCTCTTATTGTGTGCCAAAGAGTCCATTCCAACTCATAGCGACCCTGGAGGGCACAGTAGGACTGCCCCAGAGGGCCTTCTCGGCTGCAATCTTTACAGAAGCAGATCACCAGGTCTTTTCTCCTGCAGTCATTAGTGGGTTAGAACCAGCAACCTTTTGGTTAGCAGCTGAGCTCCTCAGAAAGCAGCAATGCGGGAAGAGTCCATTTCTGATTTTCATTTCAATTAGACCACAGAAAGGGAAGAACCATGGCCCAAGCCCGGATGTGCTCTGTGGCACCTGTGACCCAGAGGCACTCGCACTGGCACAC